TCAAACTGTGTTCTTCATTAGGGCTCGGGCAAAATTTAATGATACAAATTGTGAGTCATATATAGGCTTGCCAATTTGCATTAATAGCTTGAAGAATCGTTGAGAGCGACTCATTTTCTCAAATTAGCAAGTAAATCAGTGAATGCAGTAGAAAGAATGGAGTATGAAATATACTCTGTTTGTTTAGCGTTAATTTCTCATTATAACTTCATATTATAGCAGTAAACATCTTGCAGTACACATTTGTAAGGATAATGAAATCTGAGTACTCTGTCCTCACTACAAACGCTCTGATGAAATCATTGCTTGAAAATGAATGTTATATATCATTACAGAATTAATTTCTATTTTTCCGATGATGCACGAAATCTAAACATACAGACGTAACATAATTATGCAGCCGGGATTTCAGAAAAAGGAAAAAAAAGTGCAGTTCTCCTCTTCCAGGTCACATTTATATGCCACAGTCAGTATTTTTACTTTAATTCTGGACTGTGTCTATACAGTATGGCATCATAAGCTGAAGGAAAATTTATTGAAATAAAGATTCCCCACCCCGGCTCAATAAACCCTCTGTATCCCATTCCACGTGCTAAAACAGGGAGGGGAGAGGTCAGTCTCCTTTGCAATACGTCCATGGAGAGTCATTAACCAGAATGTCGTGGATTCAGTAGAAGACACTTTGGGGTAGTGAAACAAAAGCCTCGGGAAAACAGGTTTTCCTCAGTTTGCAGAGATCTGGGGTCTTGAGCGTTGAAATATCTCTAGAAGCAGAACAGAGAAACCACGTTATTGCCATATAGCTCTTTGAAACTAAAAGGTGAGGAACGGGGAAGGGGATTTTAGGTTAACAAAAGTAAAGGAAACGAAGGGAAGGATACGCTGCTGTTGTGGGCGTTGCCATTTAACTGCAGGACTGGCCCAGAGAGACAGAAACTTGCTGTGTAGGATACAGACAGACAGACACATCCTAGAAACCACGCAGGATGGGGAGAGGCGTGGAAGTCCTGGGGTCCGGTGGACAAGCGAGAAGGGAGAGCTCCAGCAGGGCTAACAGGTATATCCCAGTGGGCAGAGCTCTGCCAAGGAGAGCGGCGATATTGGGAATCCTAAAAGAGGCGTTTTCTAACCAAGAGCCAGGATCGTTGAGGTCAGGAACACTGCGATGAGAAGCTCTGAAGCCAGTGCTTCACTGAGAGAGCAGACTTCACCCTGCCAGCGGAAAAAATCGGGCTTGACCTTGCCAGGGGGAGAAATTCAGGGGAAGCTTTTTCAGTGTGTCTGGTATAGGCAGTTTTTGCATATAGACCTTGGCACGCTGTTGCAATTTCCAAAATAAGCCAGATTTTAAGGAAATACATACAGTAGTTTTAAACTACAAATAAAGCTTGAAGGAAAAAAAAAAAAAAGGCTATGATTTTACGTGCAAGAATTTCCTTACCCCCGATTGCTGTAGTTTCAGGTATGATTGTAGGACGTGAGGAGGATATCCTTGCTATAATGGGCACTCTTCTGGATCTCTGTGTGGAACAGCATTTAGTACCTCCTGGTACTAAATGGTCATGAAGTCATATCTGTATTGTTTATGGTCTCCTAATCCAGGATTTGTTGTCCTGATCCTGTTCCAGAACTAGGGACTTGAGCTGATTAAAAAAAAAAAAAAAAAAAAAATCTTAAAAGTTTTTAAACAAATTTTTTTACCTG